AGTATATAAGTTTAAAGTTCTTAATTCTATAAGGCAATATTTAAAAAAATCTTGAATTTCTCCTAGTGTTAGACATGTGACACATTTTCTCTAGGTATCTTCTTTATGTTAACTCCCTTCCCCATTAACAATGAAATGAAACTTACTATAAAATTCTCATTGCTCAGGCAAATCATAACTTTTATAGCCTTCAATATTGTTTGTTTACAGAGCTATCAAATAGAAAACAGACCCTTTCCTGCCACACCCACCCATTTCATCCTCTCTTTCAGGATTTGTTAATAGTTCTCTTACATTTAATTATATATCATCTATAACCAATAGGTCAATGTTTGCATATATCAAATGACGTATTATTATGTTGTGTTATGAACAGATAATGTTAATTTCACTTATAATACACGGTGTATTCCTGTGGAGATGTTAAGGAATAACTTGGATGAATTTGCAATGGCTCTTGTGTCATAGTTCAAAAGTCAAATTGACCAGTCCCATATAGAGATAGAGAAAATAACACAAAATTATAAAGTTTACTGAAAAAAAATGTTTGAAATGTACTTAGGAGGTTTTAGGGATTTATTACACTAAGATCCTTTTCTTTTGTGACCCTATTGAGGTTATTTCCATCAAAATTGTACTTGTAAATAATTCAAATTGTGATAACCCACATGTATTATCTTTCATTTATTAAAACCTATTTGCCCAATTCACTAAATGATCTAAATCCTTTTGTAAATTGGCAGCATCCTCTTCACAGCTAGTAACACCCAAGACCTTAATATTATCTGCAAATTTAGTAATTTATTGTCCATATCTTCATCTATGTCATTGATATAAATCAAAAAGAGTAAGGGTCGTAAGACTGAGCACTGAGGTACCCCCACTTGTGACATTAATCCAGTTTGACTGAACTCTGTTTGTAACAACTCTGCTTTTTTCTATCTAACCACTCTTCTATCCAATTTGCTAACTTATTCCCCACACCTATAGATATATTTTTTTTACAAGCCTTTTTTGTGGCACCTTGTCATATACTTTCTGAAAATCCAGATACAACAAATCTACACACCCGTGTCTACATAAGCAGTAACCTTTTCAGAGAATGTCAAAAAGATTTGTAAGGCTAGGTTTTTCCCTTAGTCATATCATGTTGACTGTTCAATAAAATTTTAAACTTTTAGTGACTTTGCAAAGAATCTTTATCAGACTTTCCAAAATTTTTCTCACCACTGATGTAAGATTAATAAGCCTATAATTACTGGGACAATTTTTATCACTTCTCTTGAAAAAAGGAGTTACATTAGCTAACTTCCAATCCTCTGGTACCTGCCCATTATTCAAGGATTGACAAAAATTAATAGCAAGTGGCTAACATATCCAATCTTTAACCTCCTTCAAAACCCTTGGGGAAATATTATCTGGCCCAGGAACCTTATCGTTCTTTAAACTTCCAAATTTTTACTTAACCAGCTCAGAATTAATGCAGTCATTTTGTTTGATCTTGTTTCCATCTATCAACTGTTCAAGATGTGGAATGGTAAGAGAAACTAGATCTGGTGATGTTTTCAAAACCTGGCTATCAGGGGTGAGTATTAAAACCCAACAGGGTGACATTACATAAACAAATGAAGTTCATAATCAAAACCTTAACACAAACATGCTGTCTGAGGTGGGACTACGAGTACATTCCTCAAATACTTTTCCCTTTGCAATGCATAGCAGTATATACACCCACCTTAACCTTAGGGATATTGTGATATTTCATTTTTGCATTGTTTAATGAAGGTTAAAAATGCTTCCCATGCATATTATTCTTTTAATTGTATAGATTCACTGAAGCATGTCAACATCTTTCCTCTTTGGGCATAGTCTTAAAATATATTAACAGTACATTGTCAGAGAAGGGTAAAATAAATTTTTACAGTGAAACCGTTTGGGTAAAACTTACAAAGCCTTGTGACATAGTGGTAGAAGTAAGGTTAAGGTAGTTGATTGTAAAATACTTAAATAATGATAACCAAAATATTTAATTGAGAGTATTTTCCCATGCTTTTATTTAAACGCCTAGCAAAGAAATAATGTTGGAACTGTTTACTTTAAGCAGTATGCAGTTTAACACGTCAAAGGATGAGGTTCCGGAAATGGATCGAAGTGCTGAAGAAATCGCTCCCGAGACAACTGAGCCAAAGTAAGTTCACTTTTATTTAATGTTATATTGGACATATTTTAATAAGAAAATTTGTGACAGTGACTTGTTTATCACTTTTTCAACCATGTTAATGATATCATTTTTGTAAGTCTCTTGTATATAATAGCATGGTTTGATAATGACCACCAAATTGTGTTAAAATACTGTATTATGATTTGATATGAGACTAAATGCAGCTATTTTGTTGTTTTTAAGACATACATAAATTTATTTTGAACTAGAAACCTCTGATGAAAATGAATGTGTTAGTTAAAAAATAATACATGGTCATTTTACATTGTTTTTGGGCAGTGCATGTTACTTGGTGTGACTATGTCTGTATATGGGTGATGAAAGAAAATACAACTTTAGAACAGCATTTATATTTGAAGAGTAAAAGATGCCACCTCTCTGTCAAGATTCACTAGTCGCTTATTTTCAATGTTAATCCCACAAATTAGGGAAATGTGTATAAGCCTTTTTTAGATATTAAATTACAAAAATTATGTACAAAACCATGCATTTATTCCAAGGTATTAACAGCATGTTGTCATAGGAGAGTAATTCATGTGATATAAAAATTATAATCTTGAAATATCTCAATGTTAAATTCTCTAAAATGTAAACCTGTTGTGGTAGTGTCACATAAGGTTATGAGTGTGTTGGGCAAAATTTTCTTATGTACATTAATTATTTGATAAACAAATCTAATTCTAATCTATTTCATTAATTTTGTGCCAGAATAAAAGTAGAAATTATAGTAAAACATTAACCCTAGTTAATTCTATGAATTAAAATAAAAGCCTTAATTTTTATAGTGTGTGAACTGAATAGGATATTTTGATTATTATATTAAGGCTATCGTAGCAAATATGAATGTCTTAACACTACTTAGAAGTACACAGAAAATGGTTCTTTTAGCTGAACTATGACTGTTGGTTGAACTCGCATGTATATACCTCCCACATAGTCTTGGCTTTAAAAAGTATATATATGTATATATAAACTGTTATGGGAAAGAGATAAGCTTCTTAATAATGTACACAAAATGCCGGTCATTCCTTTAGCATTTTTCTATGTTACAAGTTTTGAAAAGGTAGCTTGGTAGTATGACCAACTGATTGATGATTTACAGCTTTTTTTTTATAGATAATTTAAGCAAATTATTTATATCAGTTGACTGTGAAATGGACAGCAATATGCCTATTTCACATTCGGCTCAATACTACAGGTTTCTTTAGGTTACTAAATGATGAGTTAAAAAGGACTTGAAAACTCTATTAAAAAAACTATATTCATGCTCAGTATTACAGGTTTCTTTAGGTTACTAAATGATGAGTTAGAAAGGACTTGAAAACTATAAAAAAATTATATTCATGCTCAATATTACAGGTTTCTTTAGGTTACTAAATGATGAGTTAAAAAGGACTTGAAAACTATAAACAATTATATTCACATTCAGTATTACAGATTTCTTTAGGTTACTAAATGATGAGTTAGAAAGGACTTGAAAACTATAAAAAAAATTATATTCATGCTCAGTATTACAGGTTTCTTTAGGTTACTAAATGATGAGTTAAAAAGGACTTGAAATCTATAAAAAATATTCACACTCAGTATTACAGATTTCTTTAGGTTACTAAATGATGAGTTAGAAAGGACTTCAAAACTATAAAAAAAATTATATTCACACTCAGTATTACAGACTTCTTTAGGTTAGTGAATGATGAGTTAGAAAGGACTTGAAAACTATAAAAAAATTATATTCACACTCAGTATTACAGACTTCTTTAGGTTAGTGAATGATGAGTTAGAAAGGACTTGAAAACTATAAAAAATTATATTCACACTCAGTATTACAGATTTCTTTAGGTTACTAAATGATGAGTTAAAAAGGACTTAATCTATAAAAAATTATATTCACATTCAGTATTACAGATTTCTTTGGGTTACTAAATGATGAGTTAGAAAGGACTTGAAAACTATAAAAAAATTATATTCACACTCAGTATTACAGACATCTTTAGGTTAGTGAATGATGAGTTAAAAAGGACTTGAAATCTATAAAAAATTATATTCACATTCAGTATTACAGATTTCTTTAGGTTACTAAATGATGAGTTAGAAAGGACTTGAAAACTATAAAAAAAATTATATTCACACTCAGTATTACAGACTTCTTTAGGTTACTAAATGATGAGTTAGAAAGGATCTCAATTTAGATAAAGATCTGCAAGGATATCCAACCGTTGAATCGGAGCATTCTATTCATTAAAAGCTTTTTTTTTTGTTAGAACAGTATATTAAAGTAACCATATTCGTTACTGGATAGCTATTTAGTCCTGATTTATGTAGATAGCTTGCTTTAGTTAGAAGTTAATCATAATTAGTTAGCTAAGCCTAATTAATCATTACTTTTTTAATTTAGAGAGGGTGAAGGGGAGGCAGCTGGAGATGAAGGAAAGATTTCTGCAGATGATGAACCTAAGGAGATGACTTTGGATGAATGGAAACAGCAACAAGAAGAGATGCGCTCCGTCCCCAAGTTTAATTTGCGAAAGCCAGGTGAAGGAGAGAGCCAGACACAGGTTGGAAAGAAATTGTACATCTTGAAAAAGAAAGAGGGAGGAGAAGATGAAGTTGAAGATGAAGAGGAATCTGAAGTAAGCTGCTGCTATAATTATTGCATTTGGGAATATATTTTACTCATCTTTTTTTTTTTACGCTTTATTTTATAATATAAGTATTTGCATTTGTAAGACTGTTAACTGCAAAATAAAATATTTAAAAAAAAAATGATGAAAGAAGGTTGATTTAAGTCAATTTTGATTTAGTATTCTATTTGTCTAATCGAAGTAGTATCGGTTGAAATGTTGCTGTATTAAAATAAGTGAATTTTAGTTAAGTCACAAGTACTATTACCTGGCAAGTTAAGATTTACTTTAGTTTAGCTTTTTTGATGAAATTTTAAAATTTTCTGTATAAAGTCTTGTAGGGTGTATCATCATGAATGGTTATGTAACAAATAGACAAGAGGAATCATACCTTTATTCTAGTTTCTTAATTTCATAAAGGACTATCCAAAAAAAATTTACTTTTTTATGATGTGTCTAAGCACTTATTTTTTCTCTTCAGAAATTTCTAACTTCTAAAATAAACTTCTGCAGTTTCCAGCCAATTAGAAACACCAACTATAAATAGGCCCGGCATGGCCAGGTGGATAAGGCGCTCGACTCACAATCTGAGGGTCGCGGGTTCGAAGTTCGCATACCACC